GAATGGATTTTTTGAAATTTGAATGGTTATTCAGTGAAATTTGCAGAACTTCAGGGGAGTTTTTTTTTTAATATTTATAGGGAAATTTGTAGGTTTTGAGAGAGCCAACAAAAGTACTTCAATCCAAAAAACAAATCGCAGCGAAGTACGAAAGTCCAAGATTTTGCAAAACTCCATGGAAGTTGGAAATGGATAGATCTGAAAAACTTCAGAGAAGGCCGTAGATCTTAAGAGCAGTCTGTAGAGCTTCAGGAAGTTCGTACAGTTTTAGAAAAAAATTGCAAAGCTTCAGCGAATCTCATAGAAGTTCAGGAAAGTTCGCCGATCTTTAGAAGTATTTACACAAGTTTAGAAAAATTCGTAAATCTTCTGAGAAATTTTGAAAACTTCAGCGATGTTCAAATATTTTCAGATTGGGGGTTTCAGATAAATCTGCAGAACTTTATGGAAATCCAAGAATCCACAAAGAAATTTACAGAACGTTAGAGAGGTTTGGAAATCTACTGATAAATTAATTGAACTTCAGGGCAGTTCGTAGATCTTCAGATCACAAATACAGTACTTCAGAAAACTTAACAGAATTTTAAAGAAATTTTAGGAACTTCGGAAAAGTTCAGAGAGTAGATCGTAAATCTGCAGATGTTTAAATAAATTTTCAAAATTTTATTGCGGTTCTTCGATGTTAAGAGAAATTTACAGAGCTTCATGGAAGGTCGCTGATCTTTAGAGATATTTGCACAACTTCAGAAAAAAATAGTAGATCTTCAGAGAACTTCCTAAATCTTCCGGGAAGCTCAAAAATTTTTGGGTAAACTTTTAATACTTTAGGGAATTGTGTAGATGTTCGGAGATATTTGCAGATATTCATTGAATCATGAAAATTTACACAGAAAATTAAAAAGCTTTCGAGAAGTGTGCACAGATTATATGATATTTAGTGAACATCAGAGATAATTGTTGATCTTTAAGGATCCTAAATCTGCAGGGATTCAGGAACTTTGTAGATTTTTAGAGAAATTTGCAGAACTTCTGAAGAACACACAGAACTTCAAAGAAATCCACAGAACTACCGAGAAATTTGTAGATCTTCAGGAAAGTTTGTTGATCTCTGAAGATATATTACCAGAGAACAGAAAATAAACTTCAGGGACGTCCGAAAGTCTTTAGAGAAACATGCAGAATTGAGTTCTTAACAAAAATTTTTTCATAACTCAAGGAATCATTTAGATCTATAGAGTACTTTACCCACTACCTTGTCGAAAAATGGTATCGACATCCTGGCGAAGTTTTGAAATCCTTTTTCATCTTCATATCGCAGTTCTTGAAGGACAAGCTTACCCAGATCCCTGCCGGTGTTCCCCCTGAGCAACCATATCCTACTCCACAAAGTTCATATCCTCCTTCTTATTTTATTTAAAATAATAAAAGCAAATACGCCTGTCGAAGCTAGAGCAATTTTCCGGTAATTCATGATGGAAATAATTACTTTTGATTCCTGGTACAGTTTTGTTTTGTAATCAAAATTGACAGTTCTTTCGATAAAACAGCAAAAAAAAGTTATCTTCCATTTAATTCCACTTAATTAATTTTGGTATCCATGACAGATACGTATTTCGACTACAATGTGCAGTCTTCATCAGTGTCATTCCCACTAAAGAACTTATCAAAATCTAACCCCCTTAAATACTAAAGGAGAAAAATCTAGTAGTCGAAATACGTATCTGTCATGGATACCAAAATTAATTAAGTGGAATTAAATGGAAGATAACCTTTTTTTGCTGTTTTATTTAAGCATTCCGCTATAAACCCAATTTCATTATTTCATTAGTTCTTTCGACATGTGCAAGCAGTGTGAACACCAGCAAACAGGGCTGTTCGAGAGTGTGTCGAATGTAAATTCGAGCAGATTTTTCATTATTGAGGCGATCAAAATCAGATAGTCTAAACGGACCTTATAAACGATTCATTATATTGCTAATTCACAGATATGTAACATATGCCGTGGAGATACAAAGAGAAAGTCAACGGAGATAATCTGTCAATGTTACTTAGGACCTAATGCAATGTTCAGCTTGAATTCTCGTTTTTCATCAAAAGACTAACTCTTTCGACTGAAGTGTAATAAAGAATATCCGTCAAACACTGCCGAAAACATTTTTCAAACAAAATAGTGTCCAAATCTAGAGATAACTCATCCTTTCATCAATCACGACCAGTCAATTGTTGCTTGTTCCTACTGCTGCTATTGCTGTTCACCACGCCGTCCGAAGCGAAAATGAGCTAATGTCATACAGCAGCGCTCTTTTATATCTTTTCAGGTTAAAGCAGAATGATGTGCAACCAAGTGGTATGAAAGCTACAAAGACTCCTCCCATTATGAGTAGTTTGCTATCAAGTAGCGACACTGGCTATTTTCCTTTTGTGTACACGGCGTATGTATGTGTATAAACCAAAATTTGAGTTTAGTTTACTCATAATCGCCAAAAGTGCAGGAACTCAGCGATGAGTAAATTTGTCTCATAATTTCCTGTGGAAAACATTTAAAAACCTGCCAGAAAATAAGGAAATTGATGAAAATTTTAATCAGTCTCGGAGTAGTACCAATAGACTGAGTGAATCCAATGTTTACTTTTCTCAAATTCGGGAATTTTTCCCTGGAAAATCCTGGGAAAACATGAGGCTAATTTACTCATCGCTGAGTTCCTGCACTTTATTTCTTATTTCTGAGATAACTAAACTCAAATTTGGGTCGATCTCATTCGCCGTGATATCACCTAGAAAGATATCGGCGCCGGTGGTTAGCGTGATTACCTCTCACCCCAGCAGGCCTGGGTCTAATCTCAGTCGGCGCCACCGGCATGTTCTAAGGCATAACACCTCTAGTCACGCCTTCCTTCGGAAAGTAAAGCCGTTGGTCCCCGGTTGAGTTGATCGGTTGATTGGTAGGGTCCAGGTGTGGGAGCTGCCTCTCTGGCGTCGGTAGCATTGGAGCTCAGTACGGAAAACAAATCTCGCGTCCCTTTTCAATAGGTCCTATCTACATTGATCGATTCTCTTCATCGACACTTTCTTTCGTAAATAACTCGGCTTCACAAATGTTTCCTGCCGTCTTCGTCGAATTAGATGCTAGATTGTTGCTTCTTCCATCGAAAATATCCGGCCGTGGCGATTCAAAGTTGATCAAGGTTGATCAAAATAATTTGTACCCCTGCTTCCACTTTGATTACATGAGCATTTTGTGTGATCGTTGGTTCTGAATATGGACAAACAGGCAGATGAATTCTATTCCTACTCTTTACTGTAATAAGCTTGGTGGCCCTGAAAAGAGCCGTTTTGTTGCCAAAGTTGGTGATGATTTAACCTCCGAAACCAAACAGAGTGCGTCTCTGTCACATAAAAACGTAGATGACATCCATGGCCGCTTACGCTTGGCGTGTTTAGTGTAGGTGACAGCATAACGGAATCTCATTTTTCAGGAACACCTCCAGCACACCTCGTAAATCAGACCGGAGATACGTCAGACACCGCCACGGCGAGCCAGACGACGGATGGATGGTTATCTCGAAGAATTTGCGTTTGGTTCTGAATATGGCGATGAGTGTGCAAAATATTAAACAATTCCATCCTCCCTATTCGCACGCGCCCAAGGATCGGAGGCGAATGCCACTTCGACTTGTTTCGTCTACTTACTACTCTCTGACGACTGTGCTGGGGAAGCAGCATATGCATGTAGGTAATTGGTGGAATTGTTAGTTAATTCGACGCTTTTGGACAATGCTGGACATTTACCAGTTTTTCAATAGTTCTTGTTGAAAATCAACATTCGGAAGCATATCGATGCGTAGCCATATTTCTGATCGATTGGTGATAAAATTATTGAAATTGGACCAGGGGCAGCTGAGTTATTAACGTTCAAAATCTTTCTTAATTTGTTACATGTTCCATTTTTGGTTTTCACAAAGTGTACCCCCATATAGAAATCAAAGACGTAGTTCTACGTCAAAAATCAAATCATCAGGAAAATTCTTCCTAACCCGTTCTGTCATTCTACCGTCAGTGCAGCATGCTGGCTCAATATCTAAGCTAACTCTTATTACTGCTCGCAGAAAGAAAAAAAAAATCGGTGAAATACCAACTTGTACAAAGCAATGGAATTGTTAATTAGATAGAAGATAACCGAAGAAACGACAGCCCCCTCGTCGCACATTCCAGTATCAAACATCATGAATCTATGCATCGGTAAGTTAGCGACGCCAACAGCGGTAGATTTAACATGGATTTCCATTCCAACTGAGAACAACAACAACGAGAGCCAGGTTTGGTCGAAGGACGCGTAACAAGTGCAAACTGTAAACAAAGAACGCCCCGTAGCATAGAAATGGAAAAACCACCTCCACCTTGAGCGAGTGCGCCTCAAGTTGACGGGCACAGGAAATCGAGGAAACCTTAGAAACCTTGAAACTTACTCGGACCGGTTCGAGGCATCGTCGGGAAATCGATAGCCTCCTCGATGTGCTGCTGAACACGAAGCTGGAGGAACAGCAGCACCATTTTTAAGACAATCAGTCGATTGCGGTTTCGGATCTCCCCCGACCGAACAAACGATAGGGAGAAAGCAGAAGCAGATTCGGGGAGGACAACGACGATGATAATGATGGCACCATCCGTCGATCTGGTCCCCGCGCGCTCTCTATAAATAGACCCTCTTTTATAGCACTCTGCTCTGCGATGCTCTATACTCCGGGGATAGATATTTAGCAGTTGCGATGGATTTTCAGGCATTTTTTCCGTCACTTTTCCTGCCCCTGATTCGCACGTCTTTCTTGTTCGTTCTGTTCTGTCTGGTTTGATTCATACCATTTTCTCCATCTTGGCACCACTCGCGTGTCGCGTAGCTCCCCAGGAATACCGATCTGTCAACTGGTTTCCTCTTCCTACCACCCCTCCCCCCTCCCCCTACCGATCTCCGTTGAAATCGAAAACCAAATCGACATTCTTACCTGTTTTGTATCTGGATGGAATCTCGCTCAACAACTCCACCGGAAGTCTGCGTCTATTCACCGTTCAGAAAATCCAATGGGGGTTTTTCTCCCTCCCTTATTTCACTCAGCAGTCACTGAGACCTTGATCTCACTACTTCTTCGAAAACTCCAACTCAAGGCTATTTTCCTGATCCGAACCAAAGCTTCACCAGCACATAATTTCCGTCATCACAAAGCAAGCCAAAAAAAAACACACATCCAGCTGGAATTTCAACTCCACTTTTGACAGATCCCAGTGTACCCCATCTCACTGTCACAAAGCTCTTCTCAACGCAATCCTGGTAAAATCGCCAGAAATCACAACGTTTTTGCAACTTTAACCCGGCAGTAGATCCGGAATGACCACTATCGAGCACAGTGAAATGAAAAAAAAAAACGCAGCAAGGCTACACCACTAGCCACTATCAACTACTCTGGTGAGTGAAGCAGCAAACCGAGAGTCGTGAATGACGACGGATGGTACGGAGAAAATACGCACCTTATTCGCACTACCGACGACCGCCGCGATACTTTTCGCACAAACACACACCGACTACTGACTACTGCGTCCGCGAGCGCACGTGAACACGCAAACTGAAAACCACTCAACCACCACCGAGCTGGAGCCAGTGTTGCCACATTTTTGACGTAGGACTACGTCTTTGATTTCTATATGGGGGTACACTTTGTGAAAACCGAAAATGGAACATGTAACAAATTAAGAAAGATTTTGAACGTTAATAACTCAGCTGCCCCTTGTCCAATTTCAATAATTTTATCACGAATCGATCAGAAATATGGCTACGCATTTATAAAAACGCTTCCAAATGTTGATTTTCAACAAGAAACTATTGAAAAACTGGTAAATGTTCAGCCTTGTCCAAAAGCGTCGAATTAACTAACAAATCCACCAATTACCTACATGCATATGCTGCTTCCCCAGCACAGTCGTCAGAGAGTAGTAAGTAGACGAAACAAGTCGAAGTGGCATTCGCCTCCGATCCTCGGGCGCGTGCGAATAGGGAGGATGGAATTGTTTAATATTTTGCACGCTCATCGCCATATTCAGAACCAAACGCAAATTCTTCGAGATAACCACCATCCGTCGTCTGGCTCGCCGTGGCGGTGTCTGACGTATCTCCGGTCTGATTTACGAGGTGTGCTGGAGGTGTTCCTGAAAAATGAGATTCCGTTATGCTGTCACCTACACTAAACACGCCAAGCGTAAGCGGCCATGGATGTCATCTACGTTTTGATTAGACAGAGACGCACTCTGTTTGGTTTCGGAGGTTAAATCATCACCAACTTTGGCAACAAAACGGCTCTTTTCAGGGCCACCAAGCTTATTAAAGTAAAAAGTAGGAATAGAATTCATCTGCCTGTTTGTCCATATTCAGAACCACCGACCACACAAAATGCTCATGTGATCAAACTGGAAGCAGGGATACAAATTGTTTTGATCAACCTTGATCAACTTTGAATCGCCACGGCCGGATATTTTCGATGGAAGAAGCATTAATCTAGCATCTAATTCGACGAAGACGGCAGGAAACATTTCTGGATCAACAATAGAATAGGGCCCATCAGCATTTGTAAACAAACCGTTCCAAAGTCTCATAAATCGAAGGCCGCTCACACAAACCAACACCAACATCTTGTAGGTAGAAGTTTCCCATATCCAATTGTGGTTTTGGTTTGTGTGGGTGGCCTTCGCTTTGTGAGTAAAGGGCTTTGGAACGGTTTGTTTACAAATGCTGATGGGCTCTTTTCTATTATTGATCCAGATTTGTGAAGCCGAGTTATTTACGAAAGAGAGTGTCGATGAAGAGAATCGATCAATGTAGATAGGACCCATTGAAAAGTGACGCGAGATTTGTTTTCCGTACTGAGCTCCAATGCTACCGACGCCAGGGAGGCAGCTCCCAGAGATGTTATGCCTTAGAGCATGCCGATGGCGCCGACTGAGATTGGACCCAGGCCTGCTGGGGTGAGAGGTAATCACGCTAACCATAGACGCCGATATCTATCACGGCGAATGAGAACGACCCAAATTTGAGTTTAGTTATCTCAGAAATAAGAAATAAAGTGCAGGAACTCAGCGATGAGTAAATTTGCCTCATGTTTTCCCAGGTTTTTCCAGGGAAAAATTCCTGAATTTGAGAAAAGTAAAGATTGGATTCACTCAGTCTATTGGCACTACTCCGAGACTGAATAAAATTTTCGTCAATCTCCTCATTTTCTGGCAGATTTTTTAGGTTTTCTACACGAAATCATGAGACAAATTTACTCATCGCTGAGTTCCTGCACTTTTGGCGATTATGAGTGAACTAAACTCAAATTTGGGTCGTTCTCATTCGCCGTGTACGCAAAAAGAAAATATCCAGTGTCGCTACTTGATAGCAAACTACTCATAATGGGAGGAGTCTTTGTAGCTTTTATACCACTTGGTTGCACATCATTCTGCTTTAACCTAAAAAAATAAAGCAGCGCTGCTGTCTGGTATCAGCTCATTTTCGCTTCGGACGGCGTGGTCAGCAATAGCAGCAGTAGGTCGTGGCTGGTCGTGGCAAAGGAGGTGCCAATCGTCATCGCAAAGTCTTCGAGGTAACCACCATCCATCGTTTGGCTCGCCGTGGCAGTGTCTGACGTATCTCCGGTTTGATCTACGAGGTGTGCTGAAGGTGTTCGTGGAAAATTAGGTCCGTGATGCTGTCACCTACTCTAAACACGCCAAACGTAAGTGGCTATGGATGTCCTCTTCAATAAAACGGCCCTTTTCAGGGCCATCAAGCTTACATCAGTAAAGAGTTGGAATAGAATTTATCTGTGCTTGTTTGTCCATATTCAGAACCACAAGCCCCCAACGATCACACAAACTTGGAAGCAGGGGTGCAAGTGATTTTGATTGATTCTAGTAATCAACTTTCTTTTTGAAAAAGATTACTACAAATTTGGATCGCCTACAATTCAAAAACGGAAAGAGCTGAGATAATAGATATTTCAGGCATAACATTTGATAACGGCTCAAAAGCATTTATAAACAAACCTTCTAAGGCCCTTTACACGCGAACCAAAGTACGCCCACGCAAACCAACAACATCACCGCATAGGGGCAACTATCACCTTTCCGAAAGTGGTATTGGTTTGCGTGGGCGTACTTAAGTTCGCGTGTAAAGGGGCTTAGAAAGTTTGTTTACAAATGCTTTTGTGCCGTTATCAAATGTTATGCCTGATTTGATCAATTAAAAGAACTTAATGCTCTTCACATTTATTCCGCCCACTAGCGGTCCTACGTCAAGCTTCCGTTCTTGCCCCTAGGCACAGACCCTTCTACTTTTTTTTTTCAAATTTCAATCTGTATTTTCATCGCAAAAAATCTTTTTAATCTGTATCTGGCTGTCAAAAATCTGTATAATTTCTTAATTATTGTCATAGTTCGGATTTTGGTAAATCTTCATTACGTTCATACATAATTCAGAAAGAGTTTCTTCAAAGGTAAGGAGCTTGAAAAACGACAAAAGATGCTTTCTAAAGAATTTGCCTATACAGTGACTCTCAACAACTCGATAATGAAGGGACCATTGAGTTATAGAAAAACAATTCCTTATAAAGTCGGTACTATAGCAGCCATGAAATTCATGTTTCTATGGTTCAATATTTCGATGTTGTGGACACCGAGTTGTGGAGAAGTGACTTTATTTTTAAAAAAAATCTAGAAACCAACAACCTTGATATTTTAAGTGTTTTGTATTATTTCTACAAGTCTGAAAAAAACAAATGTTAATTTGATTTTTTTTTTCAACTCCGTTAATCATCATTCAGTTTTAACTCAAAACTTTTACTGGAAGTTAAGCCGATTTGCATACATTACTAACTTTTTCTAATATGACGCTATTTGAACATCAAAATATCCAGTTGACTCTTCGAGTCACAGACTGCAATAAATTAGTTTGTGAGTTTGCTTGTTTTCCTATTTAAAAAAAAAATTAATTACCCATCGTATATGTCACTATGTAACATGGTTAAATAAAATAAAAATAAAGTGGAACTAATATCCCAACAAGAAATCAAAATTAAGAACATCTGCATATCAGAAGTTTATTCAAAATAATCGAAGATTATACAATGATATTTTATTTAGTGAAAAATACGATTTGGGTTCGATGCTCATAAAGTGAATTCAAGCTGGTCAATAGGAAGAAACGAAATAACTAGGGGAAAAGTTGGCTTCGGCAATACCTTAACCTATTATCGTCAGGGGGGTAAACAAAGTCCTAGAGCACTCAAATTTGGCCAATAGTTGCTCTGAAACACAATGTATCCACAGGCCAAAATTGAGCTCTCGTTGTTTACCCCCCTGACGATAATAGGTTAAGGTATTGCCGAAGAGAACTTTTCCCCTATATAAAAAAAATATTCCTTTTATTAAAAAAAAAAATCTGTAAAATCTGTAATCTGTATAAAAATATTGAAAAAATCTGTATGATTACAGATAAATCTATATATGTGGCATCACTGCCTGGAGCCTTCGCGCTATTTCAAAACTACCCAAATTTGGGTTAAAGTCCACTCAGATCGGTCGAAACTGAACCTACCCAAAAATGGGTAAACTGTGTTTGAAGTGACAAGTTGACAAATGAAGAACATCGACATGAATCCGATCGACATTTTTCATTTGTCAATTTGTCACTCCTAACACAGTTTACCCATTTTTGGGTAGGGTTAGTTTCGACCGATCTGGGTGGATTATACGCAAATTTAGGAAGTTTTGAAATAGCGTATTGAGCTGAGGCTAGATTACCGAGGTGAAGCAATCGGTTAAGTGTGGGTGAAACCGAGGGGCACGCAATAACCTTTAACTCCTACGCAAGCCTTTTTTAAGTACAATAATTACAGTTAGCTACATGATTAATTACTTTAATTACGAGCGTCGGAAATGTTTTCATTTAATTACTTTTAAGTACAAATTTCAGTTTTAATTACAAGTCGCATAAATTAAGTACATTAACTCCATTAATGTACAACAAGAAATGTACTTAAATTTCCCCCAGCGTACCGTTAGACCCTTTCGTTATTGGCCCGTGAAACAAAAATTTCACAGGCCCTTTTGCTACGTTAAGGATAATGTCAGCTCTGATAGATTGTATCGCTACCGCTGTTATGACTTCAGAATAGACCCTATAAACATACATCTCCCGGGACCTAAGAGGAAATCTACGTTGGTGATTGGTGCCAATTCACATGCAACGATCGGTTCGTGATTGGAAATGTAGTCGGATTTCAATACTGCCGAGGTGTTGGCAGGGCAATGAACTATATCCTGGATCACGCCCCTGTCAAAGCACCGGAGAATGCGACAATGAAAGGAATGTTTGTTTGTGCTACCTGGTTCAACCTAAGAACTAACGAATTAAATTTGGTGGATGCGAACGAAACCAGAATTACAAAAATTATGTTAACCTTTGCGTGCCTAACGTCTAAATTTGTATAGATTTCAAAATTCAATTAGCTATAAAAACATAATTTCTCAATAT